AGATTTTTCTGATTAAAGCAGGACCAAACATAACATACTTTAAATCACAATTTACTAGAAGAAAATGAATTATTATAATTTATTAAATAAGTATATATTGTTCCAAAATCATGTTTTATCTCATTTTAAGCAGAAAAACCTCATAACTCAACTGATAAAAGTTTTGGTCAACAAAAGTGAAAAGTAAAGTTTAACATTGCACTAATATCCCCCCATTCATCTGTTTCTGCTGATCGTTCCGAAGTTCGAATCTCTTGCTTATTCATTCGCGTCGTTCTTTTCTACACAGGACAAGTGAAAGGTTCGGTTCAGATTTTATCTCGACTTGAAATCTACACCGCTGCAGGATTAGTGCCCGGTTGCAGTCCCGATTTTTAGGTACTAATCGCGAGAATACTGTAGTAAAAGTGCTTGTTCTAGAATGTCGGCTAAACAGTCAGGAAAGAAGAAGAAAAATGTAAAAAAAAAAGGATGAAAGAAACAAAGAAAATATGAAGATTTTTTCTAAGAGAACGGTCAAGGTCAATTTTGCGGTAACTTTAGTGAATAGATCTCGATTCAAAGGCGTAGGATCCGTCTATGATAGCAGCTATCTAACATTTCTTAGCACCCTGTACTTTCGAGTTTGCTTATTAAAGGAAATGTTGAAAACAGTAGCAATTTAGTAAATAGTTCGTCAACATCAATAACTTCAAGTTTCAAAAAGAAACCTGTGTACAATGTATAAAATAAACAACCAACTCTACAGATACGGTTAATAGGAAAACTTCTATCTCGAAAATGTAAGATTAAGTTACTCGAAAATATGCATTCTCTCGTTAAGTAGAACGCAGTCCGTTGCTTTACGCAGAAACAGCAAGTCGGGTATGACAATATAACACCCCGTGATTTAAAATTACCGTTTTTCAATAAATAAACCTTAGCTCCATGTAATCAACATCTAGTTCAACTTCTATTGTCAAAATGCTAAGTATAAAATTATTATCTAGTATCTAATTTATGTTCCCTGCTAGTAACAATGAGATGGGAATATGTAAACGTACGAGATTCCACCCATGAACAGCACTGTCGTTACATGTATATATGTATACATGTATAAAATAGAATATCCAAGTGAAAGCATCTGATAGTTTACAGGTGTACGAGAAAGTTCTTCACCGTAAACTGAAATTTTTTGAAGCTACAAACAGAAAATCATGGACAAAATATTCTCCTCGTGTATTAGACTTTGCTGATCAATCTCATACGTGACAAGTGTGTTCCTTCGATGTCCACATCTTTGAGTTCCATACGTTCCGTGGTACTGCGTATAAATTTTTGATGTACGAAGTGCGTTTTCACTGACCATGACTGCACAAAAGTCACTTATTGCTATTTGAAAGTTGGAACGTAAGTAGACCTTTTTCTTCTTCTTTTTTCTTTGCAATAATCATAACTGTTCAACTACGGTGCAAGTTGATCACAAGTTCAAAAGCAAGAGATTATAACGAGAAAATATGTATAGGTATACGTCTCCAAAATGATAAAAAACTTTCTGAATGCTTTTAACCTTTTCACAGTGAAATAACATTTCTCAAGCAGTAATGAGAGTGTACTTCAGAGTAAATACATTCAAATTGCAAAAAGAACTCAGCCTTCCGTGAGCCTTTTGGGCGGAGCATAAAACTGTAAAAAAGTTCAAGCATAATAGTATTATTATGAATATTTATTGCTGGAGATCTCTGAAGGAGTTAGTAGAAAGCATGAATGAGAGCGGTGTATGAGGCAGAACAGTACATGTCTCTAGGAATTTTGATGGTATAGGATAAAAGTGATCGGATATCTAGTTACTAATTAGACATAATGTTAACTATTATTGCACGAATGATAAATGGATAATTTCGAACATGTAAACCTAACTGAATCAAGGAAATTCTTTGGAACAAACATAACAGCGGATGAAAATGTCGGCGCAACCTAACTTTTTAAATGCTACTTCCTACGTCAAGCACACCCCAGGACAGACTTTTATTATTAGTAGTGACGAAACCAAAAACAGTACCAACCCTTTTAACAGGTTTTCATTAGAAAATAATACATATAAAAATGTTTTTTCTATATACCGATATGCCTATTCGTTGTAATTATTTACAAGTTAACTTCTTAATTAGGTATGAAATATTCAGAATACTCCCGTTCAGTGCAAACAGTAAAAGGTAAATTGCTATCACTTTCCCTTTCATACTATAATTTCACTATTGAAGATAAAATTAGGAGGCATACGTCTATTACCGACAAAAAAATTTTGTAATCCAATAATTGTACCCTAAATAAATTCTCACTTTTCTTACTTTACATATTTAGGAGTAAATCTTATAGGTTTTAGTATAGAAGATAGTTTGGTAAAATAAGGTGGTATACCTCGAATAAGAATAATCATAGTTATTAAATATGAACAAAATTGTGTGGATTTTTTCATTTCTTCATATTTCATACATATCATTTATTTGCAATATTTCATTTACCCTCAATTATCGCTTATAAACGTCTAGGAATACCTTCCATTAAATGTCGATCTCATTTTTGACTATAGTTTTATGAGCTTATTTTTTATTTAAGAATTAAATCTTAATTTCATCACTCCACAAAACTTTTTTCATATGTTATAAGACTATACTGTCTTTTATATATATATATATTTGCATTAAATTTTTTAATAATTTCGCGACGTGTAATAATCGCTTCTATTCAGCATTCTCTTACAAGCCGATTTTTGTATCCTTCGATAATACAGTAAACATTGAATAATTGCAACAATCGTAAGGATCCGAATTTGTGGTTATGAAAAGGTAGAAACAATTTTATTCTGAAAAACGAAGATACTAAGCATGACGGACGTAGAAATGGAAAACGCGTGTAAAGGAAAAAGAGAAACTGAAAGTCGAAGCATTTGGCAACATTAAAGGCTTGCGATGAGCTTGAGACCTTTAACTCAAGAATCAAATTTTCTTATTTGTAATTTATAATTTATAATTTATAACTTATAATTTACAATTTACAGTTTATAATTTTTTATGAAAGAAATTTTCACCGTCATTTTTAGGTTCTTTTTATTAAAATAATATCAAACACGATAGAATCACAATCATAATTACTTGCATAAGATGTGATAGTACCGTCGGATATAGAAAAGAACTGCCAATAGAAAAAAAAAGAGACGTTGAAATCGTCGAGTTTGACAATAGTCTAATCATGTTACACCATCCAACCGTGGCCAGTCGTCAAGCGTATAGTGCATCGAGAGGAAGCTGGTGGAGATGACGACATTGCAATTATGAAGAGATTACTGATGTTACAATTATTCAAAGTTTACTGTACATCGCTTAAGACTATATTTTTACAAATTTATTATAGCACTAAATTTTACATACAGTATTTAAATTTTTGTTACAACATTTTTAAGTATACTATATTTCTTCCTTACATCTGTCTATAAATTGAAGTCTCCTCAATAATAAAGAATTAGCAGGTCTCTGATTTTCAGAAAAATATTCAATTTTCAATTTTCAATTTTCAATTTTCAATTTTCAATTTTCAATTTTATAAATTACATGAAAAATATTCGGAGAACGTATAGATAAGTATAATGTGGACACTAATATTGACTAGAATTGAAAATACTTTTGAACAAAATTACATCAATGACAATCCGTTTGAGTTTACCACGAAAAGAACATTTCATAGTGTTTTTCATTCTGTGCAATTAAGGATTTCATTTAAATAATTAGAAAAAGAATTTTTTTATTTATCTTTGCTATCAAATTTTCTTAAAAAATTCTTGTGTGCGATTGAATCGTAAAAATAAAGTAGACAATGATAAGCTGAATTTTCTCTGTGCTTTAAATGGAAAACCAATAAAATGGTACAATGTAAACATAAAATGTTTTTTCTAGTAACCTATCCAACTTATTATCGCTGATAAAATTTTACAGAATGGCACTTTCGATTTGTTTATCCGGCAATACTCTTTAGATTCATAAATCATTGAAAACTGGTACTAGTACAAAGTTTGTGATAAACTAATACACGAAACAATGTACAAGTTTTTTTGGTCATTGTGTCATTAGACGATTAATCACGTATAATTATCACGGTTATCTATTTACCAACACCGTGACTACTGAGTTTTAATTTTCTGCTTTCAATTAGCCTGGTTGAAATGAATTGATTAAACTTAGGTCTGATTAACTTAACAATTATTTTGCTTTTCTAACCGGAAAATCATTTTTTGATTATTTATACCTAATGTAAATATCGTTACAAATATTTTAGAAGTACCGTGATGTTTATGTAACTCACGAGAAAACCAATAATACTGTAATTTTTAATCCCGAAGAAATAATACTTCTAAGAAAGTAATATTATCCTGTTTCATCATACTATTCTTTTCACTATTTTCAAATCGATGTCTTGTCGTATACTGTCAATTTATAAAAAAAAAAATTAAATAATCTTTGCCGAAAAGTAAGAAATAAGGCAGATAAATATAGAAGGAAGCTTGCGATTGTCACGCACCGCTACAGCCCTAACGTAACGCCTACTTCCCAATATGAAAGTCGAAAGTATTTGAAATATCATTTCTGTGAAAAATAATAAAAAGCTGAAGTTACGAGGATATGACTTGCAACAGTTCACATTGCCTGATCTGCGCACGCATACTTTTACATGCAAGTATGCAAGTTAGAGGTAAAGATCGGTTAGAAGTGAAACCGGAATGGCACTCGAAAAGCAGAATGCTGACGGACGATGATGCATGAACACATTTGCCGTGAGAGTGATTGATTGTTGGACTCACACGAACGATTTTTGGTGGATTCAATATGAATGATATTATGAGAAATGTGAGTCGATCCCTAAGGTGTTCCTTAACTAAGTAATTTCACTAGGCATGTATAACTACTTTTAGAGACAAATATTAGAATCGGTTGTCCGTGAAGTGGACATCTGCCAACCGCTCTCACCTGTGTGTTGGCGGATGTGGTTAACAAGGTGTTCCTTTCTGGTGAACGATTTGGAGCAGAAGCCGCATCGGTGTGGAGACTCACCCGTGTGCTGGCGGACGTGGTTCAGAAGATGCTCCTTTCGAGTGAACGTCTTCGAGCAGAAGTCGCAGCGGTGCGGCGTCTCACCCGTGTGCCACATTATGTGGTTCGTGAAGTGCTCCTTTCTCGTGAACGACTTACCTGTATTCGCAGCAGGAAACAAAACCAAAATCACAAATACAGATTAGATTATAGCATATCGTATTCACAATGTACATCGCTTTAACGTGTATCTATAATACACGGTTGTCACTGTTGAGGTACTCGATTCGACTTTAAAGGGATGTTTTCATTTCAGCGACTCTTCAATTACCATTACATTAAAAAGTAATAAAATTAGATATAAAGTTAAAACTTAGAATTTTACATGCACGTTTATTTATATTTCAGGAGTAAACAGTAAAATTTTTGTGATTCTGATATCATTTTTATGCATATCAACAAAATTATTAAGTGTTAAATGTTAAATGCAATGTTCCATTATTCACGACCCCATGATATCTTAACAGTCAGTGACTTTCTTTGAAATTTTACGTAGTATGAAGATGTGTCGCATCGACGTTCGAGATCGGCAAGTTCGAAGAGGAACTGTCGGAAAGGGAAACTGCGAGAAAAGCCTGGAATGTAGAAGAATGTTCAAGAGGGTGCGGTTAACACTTAGCCAACCGAATGGGAAGATCTCCCACTTTTCACTTAGCAACGTATTGCCTTTTATTCTGTCGGATTATTTGCAGTCCATTAAATGCGGTTCTTGTTTTTACAAAACACAGTTTCTAACCGAATTGACTGAATGAGTTCAATTGAAGATAATGGAGAGGGTTGTAGTTATAGTTCTTTTTAGGCGGTCGCCTAAATGTTAAGATCAGCTTCCGATTCAGAAGTATTAAAAGATCGAGCGGCACGTCCGTGGCATCATTCAATTATGGAATGCCGATGTAGCCGCGTCCGTTAAGCTAAAACCCTTACAATAGGTACAGGTATTTTGCATAGATATCCCTTTACACTCCACAGTAAAATTATGTGAGTATCACCAAAAGCTTTTTTAATTAAATAATACGTACAAAATTTTCAAGACGAAATAGATTTTTCGAATTTATGTGACCGTCATTTCGTTCAAATGCATTTTCTGTTTTATTTTCGCACTGAACAATAATCACATTCACATAGATGAAGATTATTTATTATTTGTATGTTGCACACGAATATCACAACGGACACCTTGACTGGCATATAAAATGGAATATTACATTCAATAGTTAAGAACTTTGTTAATATGCCCTTGCAATATAAATAAATTTTAACCTATTTGGAGTTTGAAAGCCACCACAAAGCAACCTCTTCGAAGAAGAACACCCTCCCTCTTTTAAGCGGGTGAGTTTCTCGAAAACATCGTAGCGTTTTGTCAAACCGATAGCTTTACGAGCGAACAACTGTAAATAAATCCAGACTTGATTTTCATTTTATGCCATTATTTGTTATCTTCTACGCGTATTCAACAAAGTCAGTTTGCTTGCTGACAATTGGATAATAGAGTCTGGTATGGATGGACCTGCATTTTATGGGGTAGGTAAGTCCCGTCCCCACCTCGCTTTTACTTTATGATTGCTAAAAATTATTCCAGTTTGAATCCGATGATTTTTCAGTGTAAACTAGAAGTTCGAGATTTTTGTAAGTTACTTTATCCAATTAAAAATTAAAGAGGCTTTATAAAAGTATGGGATTTTTGGGCGACTATGCTTGTAGGCCGTCTCTCAAACACGCTCATTTCGTGGCAGCGAAAGTTTCTCACGATTATCTCAGAAGTTAAATGAAACGAACCTTTTTACCAAAAGAGAAAGTTATTCCAAATATTGATTTTTAACAGCAACCGAGTTTTCGTAGGAAACTATATACAGTGAGACCGACATCGTTACTCAGTTTCCTACAGCGAAGAGCAATAGACATATTAGTTACGTTTGTATAAGCAGAATTCAATGTATTGTACCGAATGTTTTCTATTAACATCTCGGAAACTAATAAATACCCGAAATTAAAATTATATATTTAAAGTTCATCCTTTCTCTTTTCCTAACGCTCCAAATTTCAACCTGATCAACTAACAGTGTTATTCCGAAGAATACTCCACTATTTCTATTATTTAATTATAAACAATTATCATTCCAAAACAACCGTAGAAGAAAATACTGGCATAAAGATGAAAATGATGTCTAGAAGGTTTGTTTACATTTTGTTCTAGAGCCGCCGTGATACAATTTGGTACCAATATTCTATTATATTATCACGGACGCAGAATTCTTTGTAGCGCTACTCGGATTTTTCTACAAATATCTCAAAGATTATGCGAGATCGCTAGATACATATGTGTAGAAAAAGGTTGTGTAGAATGTCTAGTTCTACAACATGCCCAAACATCATTCAAATCGAATAGAAAGCCCGTTTTCGACAAGATCAGCAAGAAAGTACTTTCCAACAGTGGTTGAAACCAGTCATGAAGAACCGAAATAGTCATAATTGTTATTAGATACATCGTCTCTGAACTATATCGGTTTCAGTTCTGATTCTTCAGAATCGATATAGAACCGATATAATACCGGTTCTTCGGAACAGAAACCGGTATACCTAATTACATTTATGACTCTATCTCGGTTCTCCATAATCATTTCAGTCGCAACCGACATGTAATAGTTTCACACAATTATTTCCGGAATCTTTTCAATTCCTGATTTCTAGGGATGTGCGGGTATTTACCCGACATTCGACTCAAACTATATGTCATCCGTCAGTTGACGGTCGGTGTCGTACAGTCCGCTTCTTACGTTAGCTCCGTCGGCTATATGTTTAGAACTGCACAGGAGCAAGGAGCGAGAACCAGAGCACAGCGCCAGTCATTACTGGCGCGCGCAGAGGCCTGAGCGTCATGAGTGGAGGAGTCCCCTTGCCCCTGTGCGCTTTTAACCCTTTGCGGACGGGGCGGTTTTGAGTAAACCGTACCGTGGGGCCGAGCCGCTACCACGATAATCATTTAAAACTATCAGCGCACATTTCTGCTTAAACGCGATTTTCGTTCATAGCGCTCCAAGATGTCAAATTATAGACATGTGTAGATATGTACGTGCACAGATTCTCCAGAAAATAAATAAGATAGTAGTACTATCAGTTATTTCCGCCGAACGCATATATGCGGCGGTAGTCCGTAAAGGGTTAAACCTAAAGAGCCCTATACATGCTGCATCATGCGGCGATACAAGCGGCGACTCCTCAGTCTAGCATCGGAATCAGTCTCTCCACACGTTAAAGTAAGCTAGGACTCCTAGGTTTCACAACTCCTGCTTCAGCATCAAGCCTCCTATTGACCAGGTCCCCTTTACAGCACTATTTTGCTCCTACAGCGCCATTTTGGCTTTTCAGCTTGAGGGTTTAGTCCATCAACTCGTTGGATTCTTCTCAGTTTGTCATGCGACAAAAATTTAAGCAAGGAATTCAAAATGTCCAATAAACTTCCGCTATCCGCATTGTTAGCCTTACTAGAGGCAGTATTTAGTTTCAGAAAGTTCCAGAACCATAAAGTTCTGTTCGATACATTATTCTCATGATCAGAAAATATGATGGACAAGTATTAAAAAATAAACGTAAAACTAATTGCTCATTCAGTATCAAAATAGTCACACCAGAAATTAGTTGAAAAATTCATTATAGACTGATATCAAACATACCGAAGGAACTATAATAAAATATACTAATACTATAAAATATCTTCAAATTGTGTAACATTGTTAACCAGATTCAAAATCGGCCAATTTTCATCATTAACCTTTGCAGATAAAAAAGAGGCGCACGTTCCAAGTACCGTATTATTGTCCTGCGACGGAAAACACTCTTTTACATAGGTGTCCTCTATTGATATTTCACTGGAGTCTCTGTTCACCAACCTTACCGAGACTCCTTGACTCCAATTGAGTTCTAGGCGAACGGCATGTGGTCGGTGTGGTTTTACGACAGATTTTTCGAAACTGTTCGCCTTCTTCTATTCTAAATCGTCTTTCCTTTGCCAACTAATGCAGGAGTCTGGCTCCGGCATCGATGCCAGTTACTGCTGCCGACGGTACACTGACTCCGCCCTAAAGACACCTAAACTTGCATTGTGAAACTATAGAAGTCACCGCTTGTATCGCCACATGTTGCAACATGTATGGGGCCCTTAAGGCCGATGGAGCTAACCTGAGAGGCGTATAGTACGCAACACACAACTCTCTCCGCTACGTAGTACCTATGTAACTACGTCGGCGATTGTCAACTGGTCAATGACGCAGTAGTTTGCCCGAGTGTTGCAGCGCCACGAGCGCCTATCTGAGTCCGCTCAAATGGTCGGGTATTTATCCGATACACTAGGCGGCCAACAGACGCCTACTGATTTCCAATTTAACCTTTAACTACCCGCACGATATATTCTGTACACCACACGTATCGCTGTGTGACTGAGTACATATATTATTGTATTGGGACAAGAAAATACATCGTCTTGATGAATTATGCTATTTATTAGGAATATAACCATAAATGAATATAATAATTGATAATAAACAAAAAGAAACTGATGAAATTGATTTTACATTATTATTCGCTTCAGTCGCTACTTCACCAGCGGGGGTAGTTAAAGGTTAAAAAAGTAATGTAACTGCAAAATGCACATGCATTATTGCATGTATTAAAAATCTGTGATCGTGTAGAACTTTACACCATTAATTTTTGTATTCTAACATTCTTTTTCCTAGCTTCAGTCAGAAAAATGACATGTCTTGTTACAGTTACATGAATTACCCTATACACAGAGTAAGTTAGAAATTGTAATATTGCGACAACAGAGATGATTTTATATAAAAGAATGAGGAAAACATTTAATATGAAATTTTCACCTGAGACTTTGTTCTTCGAGAAATCGTTTGATCAATTTTCAGGTACATACATTGAAAGCGACCTCGCTACCGTACCATTTTGTTGCTGTTGGCGTTTATTTCAAATTAATGATATAATTAAAATAATGCAACAGATTTCAGGGGAATATTAATTTTTCTTATTGTACTATGAATATTACTGAAAATGTTGCTTACATTGCTTCATATAAAACTAATGTGTTTCCACTC